TGAGCTGCCCTTAGAGGGATGTGGGGTTGGGAGAGGAGGACTGAAAAAAATAAAAATCTAACACTTCTGAGCATCTGCTCTGTGCTCCCACTTTACAGACGTGGGGACTGAGACCAGGAGAAGTCCTGTGGCTTGTCTCTAAGCACCAAGTGTGTTGGTGACATACAAGGTTTCTCACTCCTAATCTGGGTGCCTTTCTTCCTCACCAAACCACCCATCCTGGTGGCCCAGCATCCTGGCAGTGCCTTCTCTGCATCCTGCTTGTTGGAATTGCTAAACCCAGGCCGTCCCTTCCGAGGACAGAGTAAAGAGCAGCACCTCCTTCCTGGTGACCTTTACATCTGGTCTAGGAACTGGGAAAACTGAGCCTGCACCCAAAGTCTCTCTTTGACCATCTCTGCTTCGTTATTTTGTGTTGACAGATAAGCAAAGGGAGGGATGATGCTGAATACGAATTCATCCCCAGGCCTTCGAGGGGAACCCCTTACCACTTGCGGCTATTTAAGTTAATATCAATTGAAATAACATAAAATTCAAAATCAGTTCCTCAGGCAGACTAGGCACACTTCATGCTCAGCGGCCACACGTGGCCAGCAGCCCCTGCGTTGGACAGCGTGGGGAGAGGACCTCTCCACCAGCACAAGGAGTCCTATTAGAGCCCAGTTCTACGAAAGCAAACTGGAGCCTCAGAGCCAAAAAGCAAAAGGATGGCCTTGGAGAGACAAAAATAGCCCTTGAGGCTGAAGTGGGGCTTTGCTGTGTAAGCTGCCTCTCCAAGTGTGGAAAGTGGGGAGCAGGTAGGGCCCCCTCCCACCTCCTGCTGGTACCCGGGCCCCTCCATCCCCTGAGAACCGGCTAGTGCATCAATGAGTTTATTCGTTGGCTCTTAACAAAAGCAGCCTGGGCCGCAGGGAGGGGCGGACGTCCAGGGAAGCCGTTTCTCCTGATGTTACAGTTACACAGATAACACGGAGCAGCCCAGCCTCCAAGGAAATGACCTCACCCAGAGAGGCCCCTTCCAGAGAGACCCTCCCCCAGCTTCCTCAGGAACGCGTCCAGGTTAGCCGTCATTGCGCTCTGGGTGGAGGGCTGGGTTGAAGTTGGGGTTCAAGGTTGCAAAACCAAGACTCCAAGATCTGCCTGGCCCTCCTGTGCTTCAGTCACCCTGACTGATGAAGACCTGACCAAGGGGAGGTCAACCCACAGGCCAACGGTGACTCAGGCAGGAAAAACACGAGAACTCCGGGGGCTGTGAATCCAGGAGGAGTGAACACTGTGGGTCGGGGGTGAACACAGCAGGTGCACAAAGGACCCCAGGGAGAGCCAGGGCCAGCCTGGGGGCAGGGATTCTGTGCAGAGGGGATGGAGACAGCCAGGTCGTCTAAGCTGGGAGGCCGTCTACGAGGCTGGGAACACCCCCACATCAAGGAAAGGACCTAGAAAAACCACAGTTCCAGAGGGAGGAGGGTATTTGAAGAGGCTTCCCTTCCCCTTGAACCTGAATCCCACATCACCACGTCTGTCCCAGGGCCCTTCCTCCAAAGCCAGCTGGTCTCCTCTGCAGCTTTGGGGGGCACGGAGGTCTTCATGGACTCACGAGACAGAAATGAGTGAATTCCTGCGTTTAAAAAGCTGATCTGGGAATACGGGAGACTTTGGATGCAGGCTCACAGACTGGTTTCCCCAGTTCCTAGAGCAGCAGGAAAACTTCCTGGGCGGTGGAGGAGAGAGACGTGGACAGGACCGCCGACCTCGGGACCCAGCCCCGGGCATCAGCACTTGGGGGTACTGCAGGGCCCGACATCCAGGGTGCGGCTGCCATTCCCGGAGCACCTCCGTGTGCACGAGCCCTCGGGGGACGGCCCAGCATGAGACCTCTGCTTCCCAAACACGCCACCTTGTGCAGAGCCCACCTCCTTTTCATTCATGAGTCCCTGAAACAGGCACTGGACACTGGGCTGCAGTGAAGGTGGAGATACAAGCAAGGGAGCACCCCAGGGGACAGAGCTGGCCTGGGGCAGACGGCCACCTCTGGTGACCCTCACAACCCTCTGGCTTCCCAGCACTCCCAGGTCACCACGTGGTGCCTCCCACCCTCCCGTCCACGGCTCCCACTCACTCCAGACCCCCGGGACTCCGGAACGGCTCCATCTCTGGTCGCCGGCTGCCCGTTCCGGCCTGGAGTTCCTTTCCTCCCTTCTCCTCTGGAAAGTGCCAGCCTTCAAACCCAGTCCACTGCCCCCAACACCACCCCAGACGGACGGAGCCTTCCCCGAGCTCCCACAGCACGCGGCGGGGACCACGGCCGCACTCACACGGGGCAGGAGCAGTCCAGAGGTGGGCCTGCCCGTGACACAGTGGGCTCCCGCAGGATGAGCTGTGTCTGGGGAAGGGCCGGCACGGCCACATGGCAGGGGCTCAGAGATGCTTTCCAGAAGGCTGGGAAGGGAAATCTGTAGGGCGCTCCTGTGGCTTTGACGCAGGCATTTATCCGTTTCTTGCTGGCCCCAGAAAGGCCTCGGGTTAGCCCTGGCAACATTGCTTCTTCCCTCCAACAGTTCCTGCATCCGACACGTGCTGGGCATGGCGGTGGGTGGAGGGGGCGAAAACCCCCTCATCCAGTGCTGGGCAGCTTTTGTTGTTCGGTGCACCAGACACCGCGCAGGGGCTTCTCAGGAGGGGCTTATACCCTGGGGGGTAGGACTGACACAGACCTGCTCGTTGACCCGCTCTGACATGCTCTGCCCCTCCTCGCCCGAGCCTGGTCCACCCCGCACCGCCTGCCCGCACGTGGATGCCCCAGGAAGCAGGTCAGGCTTCTCTGCCTGCATCCCTCTAAGAGGCGGATGCGGGGAGGAGGCCTGTGTGGGTGGAGAATTCTGAAGTTTGCGTGCCTGGAGTGTGGTCTTGAAGGGGTGGACCCTGCCCTCGGCCCCTCGGCTCCTTGTCCTGGGGTTTCTACGAGGCGGGGCCCAGGGCGGGGTGGACTGTGGTCTTCGACCCCAGTGATGACAGAGGGTGACGCCGCAGGCTGCGAACACTCTTTTAAGCAAGTAGGGGAAAAGCACTTTTAGGCAGAGGGGGAAATGAAACTTCTTTGTCTACTTTTCCTTCATCCCCGCCTGGGCGTGCCCTGCCCCAGACAGCAGGGCCTGGCGGGACCCCCGAGTGCCAAGAGCCAGGCACACGCGCCCTCCTCTGCCTTCAGCCGCCTCCGGACGGGCCCGGCGGGGGTCGGGGGGCGGGGGCGGCG